CGGGCGGCAACCTACAGATCGTGCACTCTATGAGCAATGGACACTATACTCCGGATCAGTAAATGATCTGAAGAGCTAAGAGAGGCATCGACGGAGACCTGATAGCCCGCCGGATAAGAGGTCAGCAGAAGGTCTAACAGGGAAGGTCTATGACGTAACGTAAACAGATCTTTCCGCATGATCAGTAGTGTGAGAACCGAGCCATTCGGTCTGTTGGTCGTTAAAACGTGTACGTTTACTGTATGAAATTCTGTTTCATGCTCGCCAACGAAATAATCGGTTACCGATTGTCATTTGCAACGTCTCGCGTTTATGTGACATCAAGTAAATTGAAATACCGTCTTAATAAGTTTTACTTAAAAAAGTACGCTAAGGCGATGATTGGAGGTTTGGATACGCGGGGCCCCCTTTTGCGCGGGTCCCCTTTTGCTCGGGGCCCGTAGCAATTGCTACTCTTGCTACGTGATTAATCCGGCACTGATTATATCGGCTTTAGACCCCTGTCGATTGTAACACAGATTATTTTTCTTTTCTTTTTCTTCAATAACTGGTATGAATAAATACATAATATCTAAGTTAACATCTGCGTATACACTAAAACACCAAATGTTTAAGTTACTTCGAAATAATAAATAATATAAATAAATATTACAATAGCTCATTGGATATAAATTTTTAATACATGACACTTAATCAGATTTTTCTTAACTATCGAAACTAATCTACTATACTTATAATAACACTTACTTTATGCGAGTCACATCCAGTAATGCTTATCTGTGTAATAGACATTTTAAGAAGTCGGCAGCCAAATTTGCACGAAGTCTTACGAGCCATTGCTATCGATAAACAAAATTTTTAAAACCACCTACACTGAGTTTTGTATGTCTTCGGTAGTTTTTGTTGTAATTTGCATTATTACCTTGTACGAATAGCCCAAACTAAATTTATATTAAGCTGTAGATATGTAAGTCTCATAAATGAATGTAAAATTCTTGAGATAATAAATTTCTTAAACCAGATTATTTTTCTTTCTAAAATATTTTGCGGCATTAGAATAGAATAGAAGTTACACCTTCATGTTATCACATCACTTGAATAGCCTTTAGAACTATACAGTTGGGCAAGTTTTTCAAGAATGCTCCTAATCGCATGTATTTCGTGGAATATTTAAGGGTTGGGGAAAAGAGTCGATACTGATTTATTGCTGCACCCAAACAAGGTCTGTTAAATTTGGACAATGCATTTTTTTTGAATAGATTTTCCTCCATCAGTAAGTTACCAGAGCCTCATCAGTTAATTAACAAAGTTCAAGGGTACAGATTGATATTTCAAGAAAAAATTACATATTACCTCTCGCACCTTCTTTACCTTCTGCTTCTTCATCATAGAAGTCCACTGTTGAACATTCGCCTCTTATTTTGTAGGGGGATAGTTGCCTAATTGTCACGCTTTGCAGCGGTGTCAATCGATATTCCACATTCATATTCACAATTTTTCGCACCCGCCAAATGGGTACAGGATCAGTTTTTTTTTAACAAAACTGAAGTGATAAACGAACTTACAGTCTACTTGACAGTAAGTGGCTAATGCAGTTTTATGAACACGTGTATGCAACTCCAAACATAGAAGATTTCGGATGCGTTGTGACCTCTGAGGTCTAAAGATGGAATGAATCACAGTTGTAATATGATTATGACCTGACACAGAAATATAAGTAAATTAAAGAAAGATAAAAAATGAAAGTATACAACATGTAACAAAAACCGTGTGGGGTTCCCGTTAAGCGCGTTATCAGAATCAGTATTGAAGCGTATAGAAATTTTTTTTTTTTCAAAAAAAAACATATTTAAAAAAATTTAATTTAAAAAATTGATTTTCAAATTGTATCTGGTTTTATTATCTCTGCATTGGCCGAGGAGTAAGAGGATTGTCAAAGACCCCGCATAACCGATACTCGTGAGAGTTAGAGGAAATACAACCACATACAATTAGCAAATAAATTTTTTTAATTAAAATAAATAGTCGAGCTTTCTGGAAAAAAATTATTGCTATACGCTTGAACACTGATTCTGATAGCGCAGTTAACGGGAACCACAGAGTTTTGTTACATGTTGTATAAGAAGGTGGTACCTACCTAAATGGAGTCCATTGACATCCATCCGTCCAAAATAAAAAAGATGTCCTGCCATCTAATGCCTTATGTTCAAAACGCGAAAACCTTTCTTTTGTGATTAAATAATTTTCACATATTAATAAGGACTATTAACTTTAATAATATCCTTGAACAGTCCAGGACATGAGACTCTCTCAATCTATGAAGAGTGGCGTAATCGGCACAATCCCCAGTAGACAAGCGCATTCACGATCGCAGGACCAGAAATTCTCAGTTACCGTTCTGGATATTTCTAATCTGGGACATGTTATAAGACAGTACTTATTTCACAATCTATCGATTATAACAATATACGAAATAAATCATAAGAAGTTCTTCAGGTAATTTCAGGATATTTTTTGTAGAATTAGGGTGATAAACGAGTGCTCAGTCAATCTGCTGGTAAGTAGATGCTGTGGTCCACAGACATCTACAACTATTTCATTTCTGTGACATTACGTGACAGCGTGGTTTAACCACATTTGTTCTACAACCATAATATACGTAGACAGTAGGTTTCGATAATATAGCTACAACATGGCTCTACTGTTGTCTGCCCCAACTCTGGCGCTTTCGGAACATACCCCATATATACTGGATGATTTTTTTACCGTCTCGTAAAAATAGCGGTAACAGGTAAAGAGAAAAGAAGCCCATGGCACTGATATTTTACAACTTCTTTTTTATTTTACATTAATATATTATGAAATAGATATATCAATAAATACTACTAATTTGAAATAAACATTCAGTACTAAATAAATAATAACAAAATGTTTAAACTGAATAAATAATATGTACCCAATTAGTAGTATTTACTGATAGATCAATTTTGATATGTTAACGTAAAATAAAAAAAATTTTACCAGACGGTAAAAAAAATACCATTCGGTAAATTTATAAGTATATCCATGCGTTTTTAGTATCATCGTTTCTCCTACGCCGCCACCCAATAAAATAGATATATAGTCAGGGCTAGCGCGTTGGAGGCGATTCAATGTTAAAGTTTTTAACGCTGTTTACGTAGTTTTATATAAATACTTGTTGAAATAGTTTTTGTTTAGTGTTTAGTATATTTAATTGTAGGTAAAAGTAGTTGTAAAAGTTTTAATGTATTTTAAAAATTATTATTTGATAAATTCAAATAGCAAAACGTCGTTCCTACTATAACTGTTGCGTGGATGGATACTAAATGAAATGACCAACCAAAGAATTCATCATTCTTTAAGTTACCGAAGAATTTTAGAAGGAAGTTATGAAAAGGTGAATTTATTTAATTTTTTTTTGTGAGATATGTACTTACAGCAAAAAAAGAATTAAGTAATAATTTGGTCTACAGAAGAAATACCTAAGTATTGTCATCCAAGTATTTACTACATACCTATACTTTTCTTTTGTAATTAAAATATTTTGAGATATAATAACACAAAATACTGAAATTAAAACTTTGTACATACAAAGTTTTAATTTTTTTTTAATAACAAGATTTTTAACTAAGTAGTTAAAAATTTTTTTTTAATCACATTTCTGTTAGGAATAGTATTTCAGATTTATTTGTTGTTTACACTATTTACCTATGTCGCACCAAGCGTTGCGATCCCCGACGAATGACCTTGCAGTTTGCATGCATTAGTCATCGCAGAACTCCCATAGGGGGCGAAAGTATGAGATGTCAGTCGATCATAGTCAGAATAGGTACTTCACCTAAGTAACATAATTAACATTTCGCAATGTATTTTTTTACTTTCTATTGACATCCCTTAATAACCACGGAAAGTCCGCAGTGACTTAGGAAGCGGAAAAAATGAAAAGTAATATGGACACCAACGCGCAGCGATAAAGTTTTATTTGGCTTGCGTGCGCGACTTATCTGATTAAGACGGTTCCCCTAGCGAGAGACCTTGAGCGTTCGGTCCCATACAATCCACGAGCTCTCGCTACAATATATCACGGAAAAATACGCCCGAATATTTGGAATTATTTCAATTAAAAGAGATAAGCGAACTTAATAAATTAAATAAAACGTGTAGAATATAGATTTTTAAATTATCTATCCATTAGTGTAATTCTCAAATGATTAGAGCATTTCCTTTAGCAACAGATGCATGTAATCAATAATTTTAGTCATTTTTTAAAAGTAGATTTTAAATGTATTCATAACACATAAAAACAAATTAGAACGTGGAATGTGATGATAGGATATCGAACATTAATAATGTGCTTTTAGATGTAGCTTATTTCTCATAACTAATGAGATAATAGTCTCTGAAAAGCGCACTTTTGCCAGGTTTTGGTCAGGGTACCGCCTTAATAATAATTATGTAGGCTATTAAACATCGGCAAGCAGTCGACATCAAAGGAGTGCAACTTCTGTACGTAGTACTATTATTTATTCTGTGACAAAACTATGATTTTTGAAGTCTTTCTCATGAAAAAAGTCATTTAGACGCGGACAGTCTTCGTTAAAGGGAACATTTGTTGTTAGATGATATAGTTTACATTATAGTTCGCATCTTCCTGCGGGATTTCTTTCATGGAACTAGATTTTATTTTAAACCTGAGTCTAATTATACAAACTACTTTATTCAATATATACAAGAAGAAGAAAAGACAATAAATAGGCCTATCTCTTATGGAAGGTTGAAAAACTAACCTATTATCCTCCCCTAAATTCGATCAACCAAATATTAACTTTTTACTGAAAAACGGTGACATTAATTAACTTAATGGCCGATGGAAGTTTTCGACAGATAAAGAATAGGTAACTGAAACTAATTTTAAATTAAACCATAGAATTTATTATAGAAAGCTTAGTAATAAGAACAAAATGCATCGTTTGAAGAATCTATTTCACGGGCTTCATCTGCCAGAGGCCGTCGTTCAGATAATGGAAGTTCTCTATTCCGACGCCCTTGTTCACTCTGGCTCTGAAAAGGCAATTATACTTATATTATTAGTCCACTCAAAAGGGTAAAATAATTAAAATAAAAAAAGTAAAACCAATTTCAAAAATAAAAAGAAGAGTTACGCATAATATTCTTCTTACATATCATCCGTAGACAGTGAGGTCATGCCCACAGCCAGCGCGTGTTCCTTCCCCTCAGCCATAACGGCGACCACTTGGCCCTTATCCACCGTGGACATGCGGGCTCCAGGGGACGTGAGCCCGGGACACATAATATTGGCACCGCTCAGGACAAAACGTATCGCACCCTTGTCTACTTGTTGCATCGGCAGGAAGAATGGATCTGGGAACAATTGGCTTAAAATTAATATATCTGATTATGAACTTCTTAATTTGTATACAACATCTTAATACTTAATTCAACACGTGTGGTTTTGCGGTAAAGTTAAGTAGCTATTTAAGGCATCAAAGACAGCTTTATCAATATCTGGACTATGGAGTGTAGAGGTAAGGAGTACAGACTCTGTATAAAAAAAGTGTCCGTAAGAAAGCGCTAAATAAGGGTGCGCTGCTTTCTTAAAACCAAACATTATGGCACATTCCAATTGTTTACGATACTAAAGACATATGTGACGTCTTTCCAGGATATAACAATGTGAGTATTAGAGTCGGCGTTTGGTAAGGTTGGAGGTATTTTATGGTGGGTCCAGGAAAACCTGAATTAGTGTACACAGCCACTTACCATCATGTGGATTATATAGCTTTAGTTTAAAATTTGTCTTCAATAAACTTTTAAAGAATCTGAGGTTTTAATTGTAGCGCCACTATTTTACACATTTAATTACGCCATCGTAGCTACTCGAGCGCTGTTGTGGCGAGTTTATGAACTGTTATTTACTGCTAACAGGTGGACACATTTTCAACTATTCTCCTATGGGAGATTGTTCCCCTTACCTCTATACTCCATGATCTGGACTTTTTGCAGTGTAAAAATAACATTTATTAATAACTCGAGTGCAGTGCCTCCTATTAGATCCAGATGTTTAAATTTTATTTTTTAAGACTCAACCAATACCAACATATAGCAAATAAAAATATGTGCTATTTTTATATAAAAATTGAACTCGTTATTAACTCGACTTCAGCGCCACCTATCGGATCCAGGTGTTTAAATTTTATTTTTTAAGACTTAACCAATACCAACATAATATAGCAAATAAAAATATGTGCTATTTTGTTTATTTTGTTTAAAAAATTGAACTCGTTAAGAACTCGACTGCGGCGCCACCTATCGGATACAGATGTTTAAATTTTATTTTTTAAGACTCAACCAATACCAACATATATATAGCAAATAAAAATACGTGCTATTTTGTTTAAAAATTTTGAACTCGTTAATAACTCGACTGCAGCGTCACCTATCGGATCCAGATGTTTAAATTTTATTTTTTAAGACTCAATCAATACCAACATATAGCAAATAAAAATATGTGCTATTTTGTTATATAAAAATTGAACTCGTTAATAACTCGACTGCAGCGCCACCTATCGGATCCAGATGTTTAAATTTTATTTTTTAAGACTCAACCAATACCAACATATAGCAAATAAAAATATGTGCTATTTTGTTTATTTTGTTTAAAAAATTGAACTCGTTAATAACTCGACTGCAGCGTCACCTATCGGATCCAGATATTAAAATTTTATTTTTTAAGACTCAACCAATACCAACATATAGCAAATAAAAATATGTACTATTTTGTTATATAAAAATTGAACTCGTTAATAACTCGACTGCAGCGTCACCTATCGGATCCAGATGTTTAAATTTTATTTTTTAAGACTCAGCCAATACCAACATATAGCAAATAAAAATATGTGCTATTTTGTTTATTTTATTTAAAAATTTTGAACTCGTTAATAAATCGACTGCAGCGCCACCTATCGGATCCAGATTTTTAAATTTTATTTTTTAAGACTCAACCAATACCAACATATAGCAAATAAAAATATGTGCTATTTTGTTTATTTTATTTAAAAATTTTGAACTCGTTAATAAATCGACTGCAGCGCCACCTATCGGATCCAGATGTTTAAATTTTATTTTTTAAGACTCAACCAATACCAACATATAGCAAATAAAAATATGTGCTATTTTGTTATATAAAAATTGAACTCGTTAATAACTCGACTGCAGCGCCACCTATCAGATCCAGAAGTTTAAATTTTATTTTTGAGTCTAAACTAACACCAAAATAAAGCAAATAAAAATATGTTATTTTTTAGATTAAAATTGAATTCGTTAATAACTCGGCTGTAGCGCCACCTATCGGATTCCATAATAGCTATAAACCATACAAAATTAATATATTGTGTGAACATAACCTCAATCAGTCAAGGCATTCAGAGCTAACAGACGAACGATTATAACATAATATAATACGGCTACGCTTTGCTTTGACCTGTAACTCAGAATGTTTTTTAATTTATGAAAATTCACGCGTATTCGAATGCAAAATTGTGTCGAAAATTTCAAAGCAATCGGTAAAAAAAACTTACGGAGATTTAAGATTTTGAACAAACGAATATATACAATTTTATTTATACTAACAAAGGTAATAAAGAAGATTGTTTTATTTTTAAATAATATTAAAGATTATATTGTAGATAGGTAGTAGTAGGAGAGGGAGGTTTTTTGGCTCTAGTGGCCCCTAGCGGCAGCCAACCATGCTGGCGAGTAGTATACTACATGCTACGCCACTGATCAATGTAGATATTACTGAGTCGGGATCTAAGAGTGATATATATATATATATATATATATATATATATATATATATATATATATATATATAAGCATAGCTTGCTTATATATCATCATCAATCCCAGTTAAAGTCAGCAGCTTTATTAAATCATTCGATAAGAAATTACTTGACAATTAGTGGGACAAAATATTAATAATTAATTTCATTCGAAAGCTATAAAGATTCAGAGTGGTTTTTATAAATGTATTTATAAATAAATAATAAAAAATAAACCGGTAATTTTTCAGGACCGATACGACTTAGGGACCTTCAAGAAAAGAGTTTACTCCTCTTTCTAAAATTCCGGTAACGCATCTGCAATTCCCCTGGTGGTGCAGTTGTTCATGGGCGGCGGTAGTCACTTACATCAGGTGGGCTGCATCACCGTTTGCCTCCTCTTCTATAAAAAAAAAAATTAAGAATATTTCACAGTTTAATTCGCAAAATATATTATAAATGTCTAACCAATCAAATACCTTTACCATTTTACTGTCTCGTGTGTCATTACATGAACGTTTTGATTATTTTACTATTGTTTCTTTCGCGCACAGTGAATTTCACAGAATGTGTTAAGATAGAACGACCAATAGAAAGATAGACCAAACATCTAGGATTGCTAGACCAGAACACCAAAATATTTGGATAAGATTTTAAAATGATTAGATTTTGGGGTTGTTGTCGGGAGAATTAAATATCATAAGTAAAAGTGTAAAATAGAAAGATTTTTTTAAATTAGTAGGCTACAAAAAGACTAATTAAATACAAAAAGTAATTTAAGTACACTTAATTTTTAGGTGGCTACATGTATTTCGCTTTGGACTTTACTAAGCCTACCAATTTGGATCTTTTAGTTGTATTCAGAAATGATTTAAAATTCAAACAATTTACTTTAAAGTTCAGTCTAATTACTAACTCAGCTTTTATTAAATCAAAGGCGGCGGATGTGAAGAGAAGCTGTTTGTCTGGAGATTTTGAGCTTTGTCGGGAGTCTGGAGATCATTTAAAATATCGGGAGAATCCAGACGAATCCCGACCATCTGGCAACCCGACGAACACCATATACATTACAAGTACATTCTTCTTATTTCTTTTTTTTTTTAACAATTCGTGCAAGTCCACAGTCGACGCTTACATGCACCTAAAATCATTGTTTAGTTGCACAGGATAATGTAATAAGAACAATAATTTGAGCATGGATTTGACTTGGTTTCAGGGTTTTTTCAAATGTACACAGCCCTCCGTCTGTCCTCTGTATATATTTGATGACAGAAAGAAAATTACTTTATTTCGTCCACAATCATTTTACTCACACTTGTGCAATAGCTTCAAAGTGGGCATCCATGGTCCCTCGCGGTGACGAAAGAAGAGCAGTTCACCGGCACTGTTCACCATTATTTCAACGTGATCATGGCTGAAAAAATACATTTTTAAATTAGTAATGCATATTTAGAGTATATTGCAGTAGAGCCTGGCGCGGTCATTTTCGAGCACGGCTTCCGGCAAGTACTTGTAATACGGCACTTTCCGGTCCACGAGACCGTATTTCAGAGCGAGCTCCTGGTGTAGAATTCTGGCTATTAGGTTGTGCCTGTGCAAGTACTCAGAGTTAGAAAGCGCCGAACAACCGGAGATGACATGCCTAAGTGACTCCCCGGGATGGCGACAAGCTCGACAGACGTCGACGGTGCCATCCTTTAGGATGTATCTCCGATAGTAGTTGGTCTTAATAATCTGATCTGTATTGCAGACAAAACCCTCGGTTTCCCCGAAGAGGTCACCGAAACGTAGCCAGTGAGGGAGGCGATGTACTACGAAGGGCTCATGTAGAATCCTGTAGTACCTCCCGTGGAGCTCCTTCTCCTTCCATACGGTCTCTATTATTATTATTACATTCAGTTTAGGGGGCGTCGTACACCGCTACACTCCACTTACCGGTACGTGGCCAATCCAGAGCCTTTCTTTCCCATCGGTTGTTAGTTCTTCAAACTATACTGCCACTGTATCCTACTGGTAGCTTATGATCTGTGAGATGACAGCTTCCGATAATATTCTAAAGTAATCATGGTTGTCGACAGAAGCCAGAGCGTGATCATCGTGTTCATCAAGAACACGACATGTTGTTGCCGGTGTAGGTAAGTAGGTAGGTAAGTATTGATGAATTAACTTATATTTAACATCCGCGAGAGAAATACTAATAGAAAAGATTTAAACAATTTTTTTTAGGGAAAGTCCTAGATATTGGAGGTATAAAGCTCCGACCTCTCTCCATTTCCTTGAGGGTTGCTAAAGTGCGAATTGGTGAAATTGGTCAACATCATACTTTCTAGAAATATGTTTAATCTTTCAGTAATGGAGGTTACCTTTTAATATTGTTTTTCACCGCAAAAACATGGTAAGATTATCCTTTGAATGATGTCAGTGGTGATCGAGTTCGAATCATAGGCGGCTAAGGTGTTAAGATTTTTTTATACCTACATAGAATAAGAGTGGCAAACGAGCATACAGTCCACCTGATGGTAAGTGGATGCTGTGGCCCATAGACATCTACATTTAAACTCGATTAAGAATCAAAACGCAGATGCGTTGTCACCCATGACCACTAAGATGGAATACCTCGCTTCCAGTAAAAAAGGGTATCTGTATCTCTACCACCATACGAAATACAGCAATATTAAGCTACTATTTTACACTGGTATTCTGTAAGAGCCTTTTCCTTCCTGTGAGAGATTCCTTCCCCGGTCGAGCCGTCCTATTTGTACTACAACCATAATATAGCTGCGGCGTGGCTCTACCATTTACAACGTTACAAGTTATTACGTCATAATTAAACCGAGCCTTTAGATTACCATTAATAGTTTTATTTCGATTTACATAAGACTTTACGTCAGCGCTTTTTACAATCAACCTTCTTTTCGTAATGAAATTGGGATGGTTTAAATTTCAATAGAATCGAGAGTAGATCTAGACAGGAATCGGTGTTCTAATAAATCTAACGTGGTGATGGGAATGATACGAAAAATAACCACAGACTTGGTTAATATAAGGAAACAACAATAACGTTACCATTTAACAATCCTGAAGGTGTCCTTTTTAGGCAGGATCTGATCTATGTAGTTCTCCAGGTGAGGGTACAGCTCCAGTAGGCGTGAGCGTATCCCCTTCTGCACGGACGATTTCAACTGCTGCACGCCGGAAATGCTTTCTTTTTCATCGAATCTGGAAAAAGTAATAAGACATCGTAAAAATACTTATATTTTTACATATTTGACATTATTTGCTCTAACTTTTGGTTCATTTGTAAATATGTATACGCCTGAAATGGAGATTAGTTATTTATTCCCAAAAGTGAATTCGCAAATGGCTATCTAAAATGTATGAATAGATTATATCACGTTGTATAACATTAGCCTACCTCTAAACTAATAAATCAAATAGCATATAATTGTTAGCTGGTAACTCCTGTTTCATACGGAAATTTATAATTACAGATTTCTTGAATGGGCTTAATGCAACTCCGTAAACGCTTAAAATAATTGTACTATAATAAACTTTATAATAGTGCAATTACTTTTAAGGCCACTACTAGAATTAAGTTCATTTAGGTTTTTTTTTATAATACAGGGTTATGTATCAGAATAAGTAATATAAGCAAATGGTGAAGAAAAATTAATTAAAAAATATCTCAAACATTCTGTCCTTTTTATCTCTTAAATTCAAAATGAGTGGTAATGCAGAGTTGACCGGTAGGCGAAAACATTGTTGCCCAAAAACATATTCAATTTCGTGGATAATCTTCGAAGAGAAGCTCATTCCATTATACTGTATTTTGAAAAATTGCAATGTTGTGACACTCTCATCTCATGTATGTACAAGAAAATTTCATCATGTAATGGCGCCTCTTAATTGAGGTTGTGCTAGGGTATGGTTACTCTTCCTTGATTGTTTTGGTTGATTTTGTTTATAGTATCTATTATCAGTTCATCAGATATTTAGATAGATAAAAGCGTCTATTTGTTTCTCCAATCATACACGTAAATTCAGTGACTAAACTAGATATACAAATCAAAGTATTATGGAAAAAAATACATAACTTAAGATCTAAATATACATGTGTGTTGCAGTTTAACAAATGGGTTATAGCTCAGCGATTAATATAGCTCAGAGAGCAAGGAACACTGATTTTCAGCTATTACCCGTTCTTATACTTTCCAACAGAAGGTATTGTTCGGCTTAAAAAAGAAAATGAAATAGGTAAATCATTAAACGTTTAAAATTTTTTTAACCGACTCCATTAAAAGGAAGAGGTACTCAATTCGACTGTATGTTTTTTTATTGTGTGTTACCTCAGAACTTTTTTCTAAGTGTACTGATTTTGATTATTCATCTTTTATTTGAAAGCTGGTGGTCCCATAAAAATTTGATCAAGATCTGACCGGTAGTTTTAGAGTTATCCTTAACAATGCGTATTAAATTGACTTCGACTACATTGATGATGTACTCATTTTATTTATATTGAAGTCGGTTGTACAAAACTTTTAATTTTACCACTTGTTGTTAAAATCGTTGCTTCGTCTGTTAGTGATCGTGCAACTTCTGACACTGATTGAGCTCATCTGACACGACTGTTCACGACAGGCGCAAGAAGAGAAAACGGCATTATGTATAATTATTGATCTTGACCTGACCCGGGATTTGTACCCGGGCCTGGGGATCAGCAGTAGCGTTAACTACCACTAAACCTACATGAGCCTACAACCTACAACCTAGATTTAGTCAATTAAATGATAATTTTAACCAGTGCAAACAACTTTGTTAATATGTTTATCAAAAAATGGCCTATTTGTGTTTTTTTACGTTTAACAGGCAAAGTTTTTCTGGCCGGAATTGTTTTTTGCAAAGTATAAAGTAAGTAAAGTAAAAAAAAAATAATATAAAGTCCATTTTGTCAAGTCGAGTCACAGAAAATTCAGTCAATTTTGAGTATTTTCATTCTTCTAACGTAAAAAAAGGATATGATATTAAAAGGAACGGCCTAGAAAAAATGGTAAATTAATGTCGATGGGGATGTCTATTTTGAAGTCGATGAAAAAGATAAATGCTTCTCTCTTATCCACGAATAAAAGAAAAGTGTTAAGAATTATTTGTAAATAGTAATTAAGCATATATTGAATGACCTTAATTTGAAATGTACATATAACTTTGATAAATGTAAATCGGATGTCCGCTTTTTATCATCGAATTTCCAGTAAGATATTTACTTGAGTTTGACTCCAAAACGGAAACAAAATCGGATGTCACTTACGACCTAAGCGGTTTAGTTGATTACATTATAAGCTTATAAGGATATACCTAAGGTTGATTAAAACTATTTTTACGGATTTTATCGCGTTTATTTTACTATTTTTTTTTAATTCCCGACGTTTCGGGCGCTTTCCAGCACCCATGGTCACGGGGGAATTAAAAATAATAGTAAAATAAACGCGATAAAATCCGTAAAAATAGTTTTAATCAATGTGTAGTGTTCCTAAGATTGATTTATATATTACACTAGATCAGTAATAACCGCGCCAAAGCGTTCCCACTGCACATATGGCCACAGCCATATGCCTAGCTAACGTCAGTGCAGTGTTCAATGTGACGCCGACAAAGTTGAGCCGCGACAAAAAATGGGTAAATGCGTAGTGAAAGAATGCTATTCAAGGTCACAAAAACGTAATAAATCAAGCGGAATCACTTTCAACACATAATTTTTAATTCTTTTTTTCATATAAACGTAAAAAAACCTCAAATAATTGAATAAAATTATCGAATATTGCCATTTAGGTTCAATGTTGCCACTTTTCCGCATTTGTGATTATCCTACATTAATGGGAGACTATTTAATTAATGGAGTAAATTAATTTGTTACCTCGGATTTTAAATATTTTGGAAATTATAATAAAAACATTTTAGCGTTTTAACGTGTTAACTTTCATACAAAATAATTAATTATTGTCATTTTAGTTTAAACATGAATTATCTATTGAATATATTATATTACCTATTTTATATTAACAATTTCATATTAATTATAATTTCATATAAATTTTATATTAATTATATTTTATTACCTATTTTATATCGTTTGATTTATTAGTACAATAAAAATACTTATAAAAATGTTTTACTTCATCATTATGTTTACTTCTATTCATCTGATAAGCTTTGTATCCTTTTTTTCTAAGGGGACGCAATAAAGATTTTAAAATAAAATATACTTTTTTTAATATAAAAAAAATTAACTGCAGCTTAAAAAAACTCATTTCTATTGCGTGTTTTAGGTAAATTTTATATAGTAAGCCACACCAACCCGTCATTGCATGATTGTGTGTCTATCTTTATCTAATCTTAGCGACGAAATTGTTTTCGCAACTTGTGTAAGTGAGATAGATATATATTTATTTAAAATTGTTATTAGTTTTAAAGCTACGTCGTCGCGTTTGGATAGTGGTCACACTTTTTTCGACGCGCGGTAATGTGGTTTGCTCCTCTAGTATTGTAATAACTCAATGGTTCCTAAGGTATTAAAAGTTTGAGACTTGAGTTTGGTGAAAAGTGTAGTGTAAGTACTAAGTAAAAAATTAATTATTTATACAAAAATTACTTGTAAATTATGAACAGATTCAAATAAAAGTCATATGATGTAATTTTAATTGTATAATTTGTTGACAAAAGTGTGTTAATTCTATTTATATTGTTAGAAAATGCACAAGCAGATGATTATATTTCAAACAATTCACGTGCTTTCATGCAATGGCTTCGGAGACCTTACTGCCCCGTTGCATTTTGCACACGTGACATTGCCAGCGTATCAAATGTAATACTTATAAATAATATAATTGTAGGACAAGGTGAGGGCAGAACGGTCTTCACCCGTAACATACCTTGCAAATCAACGCGATTATTTACCTATAACGGCATATTTATCTATTGTTTAATAATTTATTATAAAATAAGTTTTATAATAAAATATTATTTATTATAAATAATTTATTATAATATACGTGGTAGAGCCACGCTGCAGCTATATTATGGTTGTAGGCTTGTAGCACGAATGGGTCGCCGCGACCGGGGAAGGACCACGCTCTCATGGAATACCAGCGTAAAATAGTTGCTGTGTTGCGTGTGGTGAGTGTAGAGAACCGGAGAACCGTTTTATTGGAATCAAGGCAATTCATCTTAGTCCTCAGGGGTGACAACGTATCTGCATTTTGATTCTTATGTAGATGTCTATGGGTCACAGGATCCACTTATCATGAGGTGGACTTTGTACTCGTTTGTCACCCTCATTCTATAAAAAATAAGGGTACCTAAGTATTGTAATATAGCGTATTTACCCGTCCAATCTGAAATCAAGCATAGATGCACTATTCCCTATTCCCTCACTCTCAATGTACGATGGGACGGTAATCCGACACGACCGGGGAGAGATCGGGCGCAGGCAACGGTTTTACGTCATTTCCGAGGCACGGAGGTAAAACACGGCCAACTTTGAAACTCCGAGCTGCTACAGAGGTTGAGATCTAAAGACCGTACTTTGATTTTACTCAGACTTTACTTTAGAGCTAAGACAATGTCGGTATCTATAAAGCTAGCTTCGAAGTCTGCTGAGTGCGCACTTAGCAAAGCCTAAGTCAACGAAATCGACGACTTACGAAAAACTCAACATATTAACCAAAACTACCGAATTAGTTTTAAATTGTTGTTTTTACGTTACTCTAATTATTTTTATAACATTAAATAGGTAGTTTTAAGCAGTCTTCTAGTTTTATAGGTAGGATTGGGAGTCCATGTTCCAAAGCCAGTCGTGATAAAATGATTTTAAATATAAATAAAAACTTAAAATGCACACAATATTATAGAATAAAATATAGTACAAGAACAAGAAACAATATCAAGAAACCTAAACCTTCACGTATGAAACATTGATTTGACAGCGCTTGACCGGCTGACCAAACTTCGATTTCTTTGTCATAACGAAAATCAGTTAAAATAACTCATTCTTGAAATACAATTTGAATTGTATTTGTATGTTTTTTTTTTGTATTTGTATGGTTAATCTTAACCCGATACAACTATAAATTCAGAACCAAAGATTATGCTAAGCATTATAATCAGCTGTTTTTTAGTTTTTCGTAAGGTCTGAGCAAAGTCAGTCCTCCCCCCCCGTGACTACGGATGCTGTCATGTGCCCGAAACGTGGACGTTGGAATAGATATCATCAAATAAACAAGTAGCTAATTGCCGAATTCTCGAGGCCCGGGTTGATTCCGATGAATACGTAGTAGAGCTATGGTGCAACACAATATTTTTTTAAATAACGTTACCTCTACACTAGACTTTTGTCCTGTATCGTGGGGGCAGTTTACACTTTACATACATAAATTTCACAAGGAAAAACATTCGATCGATCCTTAGCGCTGTAATATATTTATATATATATGTATATGTATATGTATTGTAGATATTGTATTAGTAGCTGGGATGAAATAATAGACAAGTAGTTAAGGGCCGTTAATTGAATTTTGTTGAAGAAAGAATTGTATTCCAATCGTAACTATAAAATAATAGATTGTCTTAATTTTTACGTCCTTATTATTATAACGTCAGCCAATTTGTCAAAATAGGACAAGGAAAAGAAAATAGGATTATCAAGATAGGACCGGCTGAATTCATTTTCCTACGACCCGCTAAAATTAACATTATTCGGTCTTGAGTGTTGGCGCAAAATCGACCACTAATACCATTATCGATTAAATTAGTATTCGTAATGACCATCGCATTATTAGAGAAAAAATTATCAGATGTTTATTGGGAGCAATGTTCACTTTATTTTCGGTTGAAGACTATTTGGTAGCGATAAGCAAAGTTAGTTCAGCTATAAGCTCGTAGCTGTCGTGACTGGATGCTATTCTGCGTGATCATCTGAAAAGTCCGTCGCCATCGCAAAACAAAATAAATCTTTGGTCACTGGCGATAAAAGTAAAATAAATAGTAGGTAACGGTGCTTTTACGCGCATATACTGAAATTTAGGTCCTACAGCTTACTATGATTCTGTTTCCCGTAAAGGCTTATAATAGAATAAAAGAATTTTTCCGTCATGAATGTAAAATTAAAGGAAGAAAGAAATAGGGCAAGTATTGTGTAATGTAATTAAAAATTGATTGTTAATTTATTTTAATAAAAATTTAAATTACTCAGACTCCTATAATATTAATAATTATTTTAAGGTTATAAGATAATTTTAATTAGATAAATAAGGCAAAGGACAAAAACAAATATATACTTATGGAAAATATATAAAGATTAAAAATAAACGTGTACTTTTTTTCTCTTGAATTTCTCTAAGGGTTTCCCAAAAATCAGAGAGCCGTGGTAGCTCAGATGGTTACCGTTCGGTGTACATATAACAGAACGCGAGTAACCCGGGTTCGATCCTAGCCGGCACCAATGAAATTGTTAATTGCAATTTTTAGTGCTGATTTACCACGTGCTCGGCGGTGAAGGAAAACATCGCAAGGAAACCTGTAATGTGAAGTTCGCCAACACGCATTGGGGCAGGGCGGCGGACACTTCCTTGCCCTAAAACCCTCTCAGAAATGAGGTGAGACCTGTGCCCAGCAGTGGGACGTATATAGGCTGTAACTTTATTCTACTTTACAATTTCCCAAAAAAGATGCAAAAATATTTTTATGCATCTTTTTTGGGAAAAATACTATATTTGTTCAAAAAAAGGTGGCAACCCTATATATAACTGTTGTTTACTTTGTATAAATTGAATCCCTCGCAGCAAATCAATAGTCAACAACATGGTTGTTACGAGTTAAGTAAATTAGAAATCAAGTAAAGATATCGTATTTTATAAACAAAACCGAGATGTTGACAGTTGATAAATTAACAAGCAAGTCAATATGGTTTTTGAATTAGTAAATATTGATATCACTCTTATTATAATAGCACACAAAATATGCACTCACTTCATTCAGCCTAGTTCATGACGTCACTTGAAGGTTAAATAAAGGTCAATCAATTTCATGCATTTAAAAATATATACAATTCCGTATTTTTAAGTCCTCTAAAATAGCATAATAAAGTAAAGAAATTAACCATTTCGGATTCGAAACGATTCAAAAATTGGCATGGCTTATAATTTTCTCTACACACAGATTTTAATTATGAATATAATATAAATACAGAAACGTTTGAGCATTTAAATAGGGTAGGGAACTACTATATAGGAGCTTAAATAGATAGTTTTTGATCCTGGTTTTGTTGTGACTAGTTCCGTCCACCTCAGATTTTACTTAGTGTTGTAATTGCGTGTTAATTTTGGGAACATTTGATGGCTTAAAACAATTTGTAAATTGTCACTGTGGTCTAAAATCGACCAGGAAGACCTCTTGGTAGAGCCATGCTGCAGCTTTATATGGCTGCATCGAGAATGATCGGCGCGACCGGCGAAAGACTAAGACGCTCGTACCAAAACACCAGCGAAAAAACCCGCATACAGAACTGTTTCTAATTATGTCATATTATTATCTTATATTTTAAGTAAGTAATTATAGTATTTACATATCTATGTAATTGTTTTCTCGAAAACGACTATGACGGTTTAAATAAAATTATATATTTAGATTATCTAAAAGAGAATATTAGATTATATAAAAAAAGTTTTATCGGTTTATATAGAGAGGTTTCGTCCCCAAAAAATATATTTTTTCCATCCATCCATGCATTACAAGCCTATAAACAAGCTGTACATAGGCCTCCCTCAATCAATGGTAATCCCCCAATCTAAGTTAAGGTAGTGGAAAATCTTATACGTGGTAAGGCTGGGTTGTAGCACGAATGGGTCGGCTCGACCGGGGAAGGACCACGCTCTCACAGAATACCAGCTTAAAATAGCAGCTTGATGTTGCTGTATTTCGTATGGTAAGTGTAGAGAACCGGAGACCCGTTTTACAGGAATCGAGGCATTCCATGTTAGTCCTCAAGGGTGACAACGCAACTGCATTTTGATTCTTAATCGAAGTTAAATGTAGTTGTCTATGGGCCACAGCATCCACTTACCATCAGGTGGACTGGTGCTCATTTGTCACCCTAATTCAATAAAAAAAATCAATGGTATATTGCCTCATAGTGGGAATTTAGCCATAGTTACCACGATTCGGAGGCGGGTTGGCAATCGCAGTTGTCAGGAAGAGATGCTGCTACCCATCTCCTCTATCAGGTTTTCTAAATTAAAAAAAAGATGGCGGCATTAAGCTGGTATTCTGTGAGAACGTGGTACTCCCCGGTCGAGCCGACCCATTCGTACCACAACTGTAATATAGCTGCAGTAAGGATATTCTCGTATGAATTGCGTCTCCATTAGCGAATTTAATCTAAAACTACCATAATATTTCTGCTCTAAGAAACCAAAGCTCGATAACGCCAGAAAAATATGAATATAAAAACATTCCAAGCACGCACACATGAACGTAGGTATATAATGTCCCTCGGGATGAAAAGGGATTTATTGCGATGATGCTGAGATTGTCTTTGAAGGTCAGACGAGATTAATTTAAAGCATTCCAGACTTTAAAAAATGTATTGTGTAATATTTGCTTGTGATAAAATAGCTTGTGCATAGAGATAAAAGTAAATATAAATATGTTTAAGTTAAAAAATTTACTTACTTTAACACCTTTAAAGTAAGTTAATTTTTTAACTACCCGTTGGTCTAGTGGTCGTATGCGCGACTACTGATAATGAAATCCCGGGTTCGAGTCGATTTGTTTTTTTCTATCAATCAATTCTC